GTGGGAGCATTTGCAGCCTGGTCAGCATTTTTGATATGTAATTTAATAGAATAAATATTTGGCTGGAAGAGCTTCCTCTAAAATCATCTCCCTGGGACGGCCAGCATCTTCGGTGCAGCAGACCAGCTGGACTGGGCTGGGATGCAGGAATTATTTGCCTGAGCACGTTTTCTATTCCTTGCAGCATTGCGAAAGGCAGAGGAGCAGAGCACACACAGGCAGACTCACCATGGTCCCTCCCTGCCGGAGTCGCAGTTTTCCTAGCAGCAGACCCCAGTCACCATAAATCCACGTTAGCAGCTCGTGGTGCTCCTGCCCTGGCTGCAAGGCTGACTCTCAGCCCCGATCCCACCACCCTGGGGGGTCAGACCCTCTTTCTGCGAGGCTTTGCATCCGCCCCTCACAGCGCCGAGGGCATCGGGGCAGAGTCCTGGCACTTTCCACTTGCAGACTTGGAGGGATAAGACCAGCACCTGAGCTGCTGCGATTCAGGACTCTTCCAGATGTAGAAGGGCAAGCCCAAATCATCTCCCACAACCTCCCAGCGACATCAGCACCCCCAAGCAACCTGGGAGTCCCCCTCCACGGTGCTGCCACAGGCGTGAACCAGCCCCACCGCCAACAACCATGTCCCAGGTCTTAAGTTCCCCAGGGGCAGAATTGTCCCTGCTCATCCGGTCCAACCCTCTCAGAGCCGCCCACCCTGTCCAACCCTCTCAGAGCCACCTTCAGCATGCTGAGTCCCTCCTCTTCCTTATGCCGTGTCACAGCATCCGGATAAATCTTCTGGAGGCAAACCAGGCAGCACATCAGGGCTCTTCAGACATTAATTCTGGGTCTGTTGAGGAGCTGAGCAGAGGGATGCTGGTTTGGCTGCCAGAATTGTGGTGAGGACTTAAGATGCAGGAGTAAAGCCCATGATGCTAGGCAACATCCCACGGCTAAGCCTTCTCCAGCCACAGATCCTCTGGGAGAGCAAATGCCATGGCCATGAGACCACAGATCTCGTGATGGGTCTCAGAGCGAGGGGTGAGGCTGGGCTGATGTCAGGGTCCAGTCCTCCCACCAGCGTTCCCCTGGGTTTCTTGGCACACTGAGCAGGATCCAGGCAAGTGGCTGGATGGTCTGGGAAGGGCTGAGCGAGCTCACAGAGCATGGTGAGGCTGCAGGATTACTCATATGGCCTTTCTGCTTCTGAAGTGGTGTGGATCCAGCCAAATCACTCCAGCAACTGAACTGCAAAGAGAGGAATTGCAAAGTGCAGGCTGGCCCTCAAGCCATCTCCTTGTCCCACCTACCAGCTCAACAGTACACCAACCCTTTAAGTCACAGCCATGTTTTAGTGCAATCCAGCCTTGGCAGAGACTATAGCATCTGCTAGGTCTTTGACATAGCAGAAGGATGCCTCCACTTCCTCTTCCCTAAGGAATCTGGTAGCACCATGGTCCTCATTTGGAGCACAAATCACATAGGTGTAAACCATGGTCTTCATCTGGAGCACAAATCGCATAGGTGTAAACCGATACTAAGATCTAATCCTGCTTACCCACCCTGGTTCGCATGTTTTGCTGGATCCACACCTGACTTCAGTGCCAGAAGATCTGGTACAGCTTTGGGGATAAAAGCCTCCATGGCCCCATGGTGTGCTATACACAATTCTGACTGTCCATGTTCATGCCCAGCCCACTCTTTACACCAGATGAGCCTTCTATTTGCAGAGTAAATCCTGCGGCCCGTCTGGAGTGGAGGACCGGCATATATCACCCCTTGGCACAAGCCCTCCCTTTTCATCAAGGGGTCTCCACCTTCCTTTGTGACAGGACCGTATGTGCTGCAGCCCTACCTTGACAGGTACCAAGAGCTTGACCCTTCCCAAGCTCAGTGGAGACTTTTCAGGCTGGAGACCCACCTGGGCTAGTAAACAGAAGTGTGCCTTGAAAGTTCATGCTCTCCTGGCCAAGAGCATTCACATCATCTTTTCACAGGCTATGGCAAAGGTGAGGAAGGAGAGGGTAGCTGGGAGGCAACTTTTTTTGAGCAAGCTCATGGGACTAACCATGCCTTGACTGCACATGGCCAAGCCCAGGATGGACTCCCACAGAGCCAGGACAGCAGGAGAAGGGAGCTCTCAGCTCTGAAGATGCTTCCTTCCCCAGTCCAGCACAGGGTATAGTGGTTCAGCTTCGATTCAGTCCTGTCTCATTGCCAGCTGAAGAATGGCTTGTTCTGGGCAGGCTGCTATGACCATGGGAGCCACACAGCCATGCTCCATAGTGTATGTGTCCTGGGGAGATGCAAGGGGAGATTGGAGCCTCTGCCTCACCTTGAAGGTATTTCAGGCCCCAAAGGTGCAATGATGGATGGCGCTGAGCAATGTGCATTCATCATTGCAAGTAGATTATGCCACAGGCCTAGCAGTACCTCCCGGGACAGCTGTCTGTGATCCTCCTTGGGTCTTTAAGGGTGCCAGGTGGGAGCAGATGTGAGGACTGGGGTTTCCATGGGCACGTGGGGAAAAGGGGCCCAAATCCTGGAAACCAACAGGTTCTACTGACCCATAGACAAGATATGTCTCTAATCCATACCTCATTGTCCACAGCCATGGAAAGCATGGGAGAGTCAGAGGGCTTTGTATGGCTATTTTTAACTCTTGGAGAGCTGGGGCTGTGGGCAAAGAAAGATGTCTGGGCTCCAAAAGTATTGCCGAAATAGCTCAGACAAGCAGAAAGAACGGAAGAACTCAAAGTCATGTAGCAGGTTGGTGACAGGCAGCACTGGCACTGAGGTCTCCTGGTCTCCTGCCTAGCCATCAGGCTTAGGGAAACGTACGGTGGCTTCTGCTTCACAGAAGAAACTGGACAACCCATGCAGGCTTCAGACTGGCCTCTTTGTCCATGACTAGCTTCAAAAGAGCTGAAGAAGGTCACCCCACCGTCCTTGTGGAAGAGCAATAGACTGCCCCTTTCCCAGGAGGGCAAACCGCTGCCACCAAAAATGGTTCCACCAGGCGAGGAAGACACAAAAGGAGCTGGAGCTGGCTTTAGGAGGCAAAACCCTTCAAAAGGACAGATGTGTTCCTTTGACAGACATACCTCCAAAGACCTGTTGGCACAGGGGATGGGGTGTAATGCCCAGCCTGCTTCAAGCTCTGACGCGCACCCTGCCAGGAGAGGGTGAAGATGTCAGGGAGCATGAGCTTTATCCAGCAAGAAAAGGAGAAGCCCTCCATGGAAAAAAAAAACCACAAGTGAGCATTTGGTTTGAAGATAACCAGTCATGTGGCATAATCTACAGGGATGTCCCTTTTCACTTGTTCCCTAGATATGTGCTGGGAGTAACTGTCCTGTCCCTTTTCTCCCCAGTGTGTGGCCGGCCAGCTCGTCCTCTGCCTGGGATCATCAAGCGCATCATTGGTGGGCGAAATGCAGAGCCTGGATTCTTCCCCTGGCAGGCCCTGATTGTGGTGGAGGACATGTCCCGGGTGCCCAACGACAAATGGTTTGGCAGCGGGGCCCTGCTCTCAGACTCCTGGGTGCTGACAGCTGCCCACGTGCTCCGCTCCCAGCAGCAGGACAAGACTGTCATCCCCGTCTCCAAGGAGCACGTCACTGTCTACCTGGCCCTTCATGATGTGAGGAACAAGATGGAGGCTGTCAACCGGACAGTGGAGAGAATCATCCTTCACGAGGAGTTTGACATCCAGAACTACAACCACGACATCGCTCTGGTAAAGCTGAAGGAGAAGGTGACCATGGGGCACTACGTCATGCCTGTCTGCCTGCCCCAGTTTCAGCACGAGCTGGAGGGGCCTTACCCCAACACGCTGGGGCTGGTGGCTGGCTGGGGTATCTCCAACCCTAACATCACGGTGGACGAGATCATTAGCTCGGGCATGAGGACACTGTCCGACATCCTGCAGTATGTCAAACTGCCAGTGGTGCTTCATGCGGAGTGCAAGACCAGCTATGAGTCACGGTCGGGGAACTACAGCGTGACCGAGAACATGTTCTGCGCTGGCTACTATGAAGGTGGGAAGGACACTTGCTTGGGAGACAGCGGGGGAGCCTTCGTCATCCAGGACCCTGGAACCCGGAGGTGGGTGGCCCAAGGGCTGGTCTCATGGGGTGGCCCAGAGGAGTGCGGCAGCAAGCAGGTGTATGGTGTGTACACCAAAGTCTCTAACTATGTGGACTGGGTGGAGAAGAAAACAGGCTCCTCAGAGAGGTGGACATTTCTGGACCCAGAGCTGGAGAGATGAGTGACTAAGCAGCCTGCTGCCGCAGCTCCCTTTCTTCTTGTTGTTGTTGTTTAATGTGCTCCAGACTCTGGTCTTTCGCAAGCAGTAGCCGCGATGCTCAGTGCACGCCAGGCCTTTGCCAGCCCTCCACGTCATTTGTTTCGCTTGATCCCACATCCCTTCGCTTGCGCTCTTAGGAAAAGCCTGCTAGGGAGCTGGGGGAAGGCAGCAAAGGGCAAGATCTCAGCTGGCGTCCTCAGCTTGTGCTGTCCCATCTCCAAACCTCACCCACACTGCTGGGGACCCCCTCTCCAAGCCAGTACAAAGGCACAGAGATGGAGGCAGCATTTCCCTGCTACCAAAGCTTTGGGTCGTGCACAGAGAATTGCCTCCAGCCCTGAGGCTCTCCGGGCAAATCTCCCCATCAGACGACGCAACTGCAGGACCTGCAGAGGCTACGGACAGTGCAGGAAACCCAGCTGGGCAGACCTGGACTTCACAGGTCCCCCACGCTGCAGAACACCTTTTCTGTGCAAGGAGTAGCGAGAGAGCCCTAGGGGTTTGCTATTATTTTTATTTGCAAACAAATGTCCCTGCCTGATGGCATCTCAGGTGATGTCTACCTGGCCCCAGGGATGTGAGGTTGCATCCACATTAGCCCTAAACTTCAGCCACAGCTAGAAGGTTATGGCTGCCAAGATGGCATCAGCCCAAATGGGCTACCCTAACCCCACCATGTGGGATGTGTGCGCCATGGAGGACACGAGGACAGGGAGCGGGGTTTGGACTCAGTGTCACCCTCACCACCAGCCACCAAAATTTCTCCAAGCCTCCATCACCTCAAGGCCTCTCCGGTCCTTCCCATGGCATAGCCATGGCAGAGCTCTCAAGGAAAGTTTTCCAACACACAAGACAGCCTCACATTTGCTGTACCTAAGCAATGCTTATTTTCAGCAGAATCATTTCAGATAAAACGCCTTTCCTTGGGGTTTCACCTCTTCTTTAGGGGCCTGGGTCATGCTGCACGGCAGTGCATTCATTCTTGCAAGAGCTTAGTCCCTTTTAGCTGCTTTCAAGGTGATTGATTTGGCTGATTTACAGGTAACTGACGGTGTTCAGTGTTTGTTCATGGCTCTTCTGGCCTATTGCAGGTGTCCAAGTCATTCTAGACTGACCCCAACTCACCTAATATGCCAGAAGTATCCAATCTCCCCAGTCTCCCTTCATTGCCCATGCAGACAAGTAAACCCCACCAAGGAGCAAGGTCAGGTGAGCTTACTTTCCTTCAGCAGGGACATCATCTCCTTCACTTGTCAGCAAAGCCCTCCTATAGCTGTAAGCAACATGCAAAAATTGCGTGCTGTCCTCTCTGCGTGCCTGCAGCCTCCTCTGGATCTGTCCTCCTCCTCCTCTTTTGGTTTTGCCGTGTAACAAAGGAGTCAACAGTGAAAGATCCACTCCGCCATTTCGCTAGCATCCAAAAAGCCATTTGTAGAGCATATAGAGGAGCAGAAGGCCTAAGGAAGGTTGAACCTGCAGACACACTAAGAACTGTAGTCTTGGCTATGTCATGTAACTGCAAGGTATTTTTTATATATATATATATATATATATTTCTTTTTTGATACTACCTTCTGTAAAATATCCGATGTCATGTAAGGATGGTTCTGTGTAATCTTCCTCCTGAGAACAAAATAAAACTTTGATACGTACTGAGTTTGTGCCCTGAGGCTTTTATTCCAAGAGGAGCCTACTCAAGGCTGGTTGCTAGTCTGTGCCACGCGTGCCTGCGCTCCCAGGGGGATTCTCACACTGTCCCTCACCCCGACGGCTGCTCGGCCATGGCCCGCACAGCTTCATGGGCTGAGACAGACCCCGACCAGCCATAAATACAAATCGCAAAAAATGGCAACAGATGAGATCCTGCCCTTCAATTATTTGCAGACTTAGCACATCACTGAAGACAGGGGCTGTGGCAGGAGAAGAGTGCAGCAACCTGTACGCTGAGAATAGTGATTAGATCTGGGTTCAATTGATATGTGGAAAAAATAACAGGTATGTGACTTTTGCTTTAAAAGAGGTGAAAAATCAGCCCATCCCCGCTAGCCGTTGGACTGAGAGAGGGCGTCTTCACAGCAGAGGCTCTGCAGCAAGCACAGGTGGGAGCTGAGAGAGGGACACTGCTCTGTTGGGCATCTCTCCTCTGCATCACAGGCTGTGAAAATCCGGCCTTTGGAGAGAGCTTAAAGTCATGGGCACTGATTCCTACCATGTGCCTGGATCCAGGGCTGAGAGCTGGGTTATTGGTCCTTATTTTCTTATGGCACAGAACTGAAATAACGGCACCGGGCTCCGCTGGGTTGACAGCAGGGAGGAGGGCAGTGGGTCTGGCTTGCTCACTCACAGATCTGCTAACATGTCCGGAGACATCAGAGGGATGAAGGGGAGGACAGAGAAAAAGTAAAATCAAGGCATGATCCCCTGAGCATTAAACCATCATCTGTAGGATCTGAGCCTAGACAGCTCCAGGGCAAGTTGAAAAATGTCGCTGTCCCACAATAGATCAGTCATAAATACGACTCTCCTCCCCCTCCCGTTGATAGCTCTGCCGGGAAATCCCCGATGCAACCCACCCTGGCCCCTGCTCACCAAGCTGCCGTGCTGCCAAGTGCCAGCCCTCATGCCCCGCGGCCGCTGCGGCTGGGGGCAGGGAGGGCTGGCAACGGGCAGCAGAAGAGAAAATCGAGAGCAGCAACAGCAGGCTTTGCATTTGCTGGCACCTCGCGACCTGCCGGAGTGGTGAGAGCTACTCTCCAGGGAGACAGGCATGGAGACAGCAATTTATCAGTCTGGTTGTGGTGAAAGGCCAGCAAAACGTCCCTGGGTGAGGTTTGCCTGTCCCAGTCTGTGTGTGAGTGCCAGGCGTGAGCTGCGAGTTGGCTGTGGTGACAGACTGGGGGGGACAGCCAGGACCTACCCGTGACCCATAGGGAAAAACAGCATCCCTCATTCCTCAGCCGCCTTTCCCAGGATGGGCTCGCTGTCCCCATGCCAGTCAGGGGGCTGGCCACTGTTCACCATCCCCGGGGGCTCTGATGAGCTGTGGGGGCTTGCTCTGGGCTCCAAAATTGCCAAAATTTGCACGTCAGAGCAGGGTATCCTGGAAGGATCCCAGAAATGAGGCTGTGGCTGAGAAGTTCACGTATGCACAGGTTTCTCTGAGCAGCAGGGAGGGGCTGAAGGGGCTGTGTGATGGAGGGGGCTGAGGACCTCCAGACACGCCCTCACAGTATGAGGAGACAGGCAAGGAAAGCAGGCAGCATCGGGGAGGGGACGAGGGAAAAAGCAGCGTATGCACACAAGGCTGTGGGTGAGGGAACATGGGGTGTGTGCAGAGAGCATTGCAGGGGAGCAAAGGATGGCTGTGCCGTTGTAAAAGGGCAGAGAGCCCCAAGCGAGAAAATAAGGACCCTGCAGGGATGTGGTCCCCACCGGAGTTGGCTTCCCAGGCGGAGGCAAGGGAGTTCCCCCTCAGCAGCTGGGTGGCTGGGGAGGCTGCAGACAGCCAGATACGATGACTGGGGCTGGGAAAACCTCAGCATGGAAAGAAGAGGGCTAGGGGCAACAGCAGCAAGAAACTTGGCCGTGTCTCTGCTTCATGACATAACGCTGGCGGGGAGAGGGCAGGCTGGTCCCAGCGCCAGGAGAGCCGCGTGGGAGGGAAAGGAGTTGGTCCAGGCTGCAGCCTGCTCCTCCCCAGCAGAGCTGCCCAGCCCCGGCCAGCCGAGCAAGGAGAAACCTCCTCCAGAAAGACAGGTCCATTCAGACACGAGACCCTTTGGGTCCCAAGCAGTCCCTCAGCCACCGTTTCCCTGCCAAAAATACTCGGGACATCACTGGTATTCACTTCAAGGGGGACAGGTCGTACTGGGTGTCCTTCCTGGGGAAGTCCCTGCTGGTGTGGCACCAGTGCTGCCCAGGCAGAGCTGGGGGCCAGGAGGGGTTTGAGGCCCTCGCGTGTGCATCTCCAGTGCCCTGAGACTGGGAAATCACTGCCAGAGGTCGGCTCATCCACACACCAGGACCATAACCGCGTAGGACAGGGCTTGGAGGGGACCGCGCTACAGGGAAACAGCAGGGCAATGGGATGGGGGAGAGGGCATCCCCCATCTGGGGAGGGCTCGCCCTTCCCAGTGCTGGCAGGTCACTGGTCCCAGTGCTTCCCAGCGCAGCGCCGGAGATGTCGCAGCTCCACCTGCTGGCTCCGCGGCCAGGGCTGCAGGGGCTGCGGGGAGGGACGGCGCTGGGGAAGGGGGAGAGCTGGCGGAAGGATGAGCAGGGCAGAGCACTCAGGAAACAATACCCCCAGGGTTTTCTTGTTACTTTGATTTTTTTAGCCAATAGCCTGCAGGTTGCATATACGAAAATACGGGAGAACCTTACAGCAGCAGAAAAAGCAAGCACACGGTGAGCGGGGTAAAAGGCCCTCCAGGACATAGCAGGGAGGAGAGCATCCGAGACACCACTTAGCCAGGGCCTGATGCTCAGCAAGCTGCACCAGTGACGCTGGGTTTGGTTGCTGCCTTTCGTTCAGCCCATCTTTCTTCCGTTAATTCAGTCATGCAATCTTTTCTGCCATGTCCATCTTCAGAATGAGACCATTGACAAAGTCAGGAGGGGACGGATGCAGCTGCCTCGGCGACTCTGCAGGTCTGGCCCTTGTTGGGCTCATTTGCCAGACAGCCCAGAAACCAGTCTGAATACCCAGAGTAGTTTGGGGGTTGTCCTCTTCAGCTCTTGGTACGCACAGTGAGCAGCGTGTCCCCCAGTGTTTGCATTTCTGCTCCGAAACCACCCAGGCAGTGTACGAACCCCAGAGAAAACGGCAAAGAGTGAGTGATACAGCTCAGTTCGGGAGGGCGTTAGGACCCCCCCCCCCAGCAGCCAGCATCCCAGCGCAGTCAGGTGCCTGGGGCCACGAAAGGAGAGCAAGCCAGGAAGCTGACGGAGTTAACAGTCACTCACCAGCCAAGTGTCCCTGGCCAGCCTCTCTGTGATATGTGGTATGGAATAAAAATGAAAAATACGATGGGGATTGCACAGGCACAACAGGGGCTGATGTCTCCTGAGTTGCTCCTAAACCCATCCAGGGCTGGGCAGTGGGCACACTCACCATTGGCACCCTGCTTCCCCAGGGTATGGCTGCATCTCCGGGCTTCTCCTGAGGCCCCGTGGAGCTGGATTTCCCACAGCATCCCTGGTGTCCCCCAGGTGACCGGCCTCACAGCACTCGCTCTCGTGGGGCACCCCGTGCCCCTGGCCGCAGCCTCCTGCAAGCAGGGGAGAACGACGTCCTCACTATAGCACTTCTGCTGGATGCTGGTGACCGAATCGGACAGGACCTGCCCGGCACTCTCCTGGCTGGAAACTGGCTCTGCCCACACCCAGCACTAGTGGCACTGCTGTCTGACGGTCCTCATCCTCACCAGCTCCCTGCCCCTGCCTGGTCCAGGTAGACGTGGAAGAGGAAGATAACCTGGGCTGAGTTCCACAAACACTCACAGCAGCTGAAAGAAAGGAGAGTGGTGGGACGGATGCTGCCACAGGGAGAGGAGCACAGAGCTACGGGACTGGCCCCATGGTCACCCCACATCCATGCTGCCGCAGTGAGAAGGGGGCACGCAGGGCCCCCCCACCTGCCCCGTGGGCACACGTGGTAGGACGATGGAGGGGATGGGGAGTGAGTGGATGCCCATGGCACGGGCGATCTGGGCACTCTCTCGCTTCCCCCAAGGCTTACATCTTGCAACCACACAGCTGAATTTGGGTGCAACACCCACCACACTGCATCATCCACCTTTTCTGGTGACCCTCCAGTGGGGGATCAGACCCAGTCCCTCGCCACATGCAAGATGAAGCCGGAGGCTCCCAAAATCCACCTGGGTACCAGGGAGGGACTCAGGATGCTCAGCCTGGGCTGTTCCTTACCCAGCACTGAAGCCCTGGCTGGCTGCAGGTGGAGGGACTGACTTGCTTCCACTCTCTTCCCAAAACCATCCCCACAGGATTACCCCAGAGCGGCTGAAGCAGTAGCCTTGGTGCCCCAGTGTGAGCCAAATGCCAGCCCCGCTGCACCCTGAGCTCTTCCCCTGGCTGACAGCACTGTGGGAGCCAAGTGCCCCAGGGCTCAGGTAGGGTTGCAAGCCATTTTATAGATGGGGAAACTGAGGCACAGCACAGCTGCACAAACTTGCCTAGCGCTGCCTGAGACGTGACCATCTCTGAGGCTGGGCCAGGCATGGGAGATCGGGCAAAGACTCCTGTCACCATGCCAGATTCACAGCTCATGAGAGAGCGTGAGGCTCTGCCAGACCCACAGTTTTGTCCCTTAAACCCCAGGCAAGCAGGCAGAGAGAGATGAGCAGGGGCAGACTGCTTCACCTCAGGGCAGCAGGAGTGCGCCTTCAAAACAGAGGTCCAGCACAGTTCATAGATTAAAGAGGTAATTCCCACGGCTCTGCCTGTGCAGGCAGCATTTCACCCTGCCCTCTGAACCCATCCCTTGCTAGAGGCTGGGGCTGCCTGCCCCCATCCCTGCTGCTCTCACCTAGCCAAGCCGTGCTCCTCCACCACCTGTGTACAGCCCCGGGACCGGGCTTCGGGATTAAGACCAACCTTGGTCCATCTTCAAGTCCCACTTATCCTCTGGCTCCATCTCATGTATCAGATCATAAAATATCTCCCTCCAGGTGTCCATTCACAGCAGGTCCATCTCTGCTAGGGGCTGAGCTTGCTGTCCGGGCACAGGGTGAGTGCCCAGGGGTGCCCAGCTGCCCTTACTGCCTGCCCAGGGAGCCAAAGCCTGAGCACAAGAAACTAAACCAAAAGGAGCTTTGCCCACAGTGCCCAGTTGGTTCTCCTCTGGCTTGTGCGTGTCTTTTTCCACCTGCCAAGAGCAGCAAGGGGCAATGGATCCCTGGTCCTGCCCATGCACTGCCCACAGGGCATCACCCACCAGAGATGGAGGGGGAAGACAGTCTTGCCTAACAAGAACAACTCACGATGCCCAGTGGGGTCAGGAGGGCAATCAGGCTGACACATGAAAAAGAAATCCAGGAAAGGTTCTGAACTACGAGTCACGGGAAGATTATACCAGAGCAGTCCCAATCTCTGCTGCCTCACTTTTGATTTTCCTCACCACTTGCCCACCCCAGGGCAGATGGACCTTGGTAACCACAGTTACATTTGAGGCTTATGATGTGCAGGCTATTTCAAAAACTTTTGCAAGCCTTTACAGACCAATTTCACCTTGGTTTTCTGGGGCAAAGTCATGCCCACAGGACATGCTGTCCCCACGGGTAAGTCCTGCAGAAGCCCAGCAGCTCCCCGCAGGGAAGGTGACAGGCTGAGGGATGTCAGGCTGCAGGGGGACAACAGGTTTCCTCCCAACTTTATGAAGCCACCAGGTCCCCTGATCCCTGCAGGGCAAAGTAGCAGCAAGAAGGAGTCAGCATCCTCCCCTTTGCCCAGACCCTGTAGCACGGTAAGTGCAATTTCCCGGTGTTTCACCTAACAGGGCAGAGACTTGGGACTTGCTGCCACAGCCGCCTTGCACTTGCCGACCTTGGGCAACCTTTGGCCTCACCAGAGGGTGCCCAGCCAGCTGGCAGGGGTTTGTGTTTCCCAGGGTGTTTTTCAGAGCCATGGTCATAGAATTGTAGAGTGGTTTGGGTTGGAAGGGACCTTATATATCACCTAGTTCCACCCCCCTGCCATGAGCAGGGACACCTTCCACTAGCCCAGTGTGCCTTGAACACCTCCAGGGTGAGGGCACCCATAGCTTCTCTGGGCAACCTGTGCCAGTGCCTTACCACTCTCACAGTGAGGAATTTCTTTCTTATATCTAATCTAAATTTATCCTCTTTCAGTTTAATGCCATTACCCCTCATCCTATCACTGCACTCCTTGATGAGGAGTCCCTTTTCAGCCCAGATGTTTCTGGAGGACAAAGCAATCTCCAGACCCCTGGTGACACAAGGGACATCCACCAGTGCACGGGGCCAGGGCGGAGGCTGCCGTACACAGATCACAGGAAGCAGGGCCAGCCTCCACAGGCACCAGCTCCCCATGACTTTGCTGCAAACCTCCCACTCTAGGTGCCCCTCAGCTGTGTTGGGTGCCCAGTTCCACCAAGGCCAAAGGCAGGAGAGCATCGGGATGTGTCTCCCTGGAAGCTGAGCCCAGCTGGTGGATAAAGGCAGTCACCACCTTCCCTCTGAGCTGCTCACATGTACCTAGAAAAGGCTTTGGAGAAACTAAAAAGCACAAATGTATCCTTGAGCTGAAGAAAAAGGCGTTGTTTATTCTTGCAAGTACAGTCCAGCCGTTGCATGGGGCAATGGAGGGTTGTCCTCATGCAGAATATTTCCTGTAAGAAATCGTTAGATCCGCTGGGCTCCCCGAGGCTGTGGGACGAGGTGCCTGGCTGAGGCACCCCAATGTGTTCCTGTACCCCCACAAGCTGGGCATGCCTCACCATGCCATGAGCAAGGGCTGACCATGTGCACCCAGTTTTCCAGGCACTCCATCAGCCCCCTCAGCCATCGCTCCGTTCCGCTTTGTGAGCCCCAGCTCCCACTACTTCTTGATGAAATACAGCAGTGCAGAGAGGAGCACTGCCAAAATGCAGAGCAAAATGCTGCCGATGCAGCAGCAGCGTTTCCAGGGAAGTTGCTCTGGAAGGGTGAGGAGTGGTGGGTCGGGGTTGCATAGGGCCTCATGCCCTTGTGTTTCAGGGTGCGATGGGTCCTGGACTTGTCCGTACCCAACAAGGGCTTCCAGGCATCCAACGCCAGGGCCAGTCGCGACTTGCTGCAAATGCCGAGCTGGCAGCCCTTGAATTCGGGCACTGCCATGCGGCCCCGCCGCCAGCGCATCCACCACGACTTCCAGGAGGTCGGTGGACTGGATGGACACGTGGTAGAAGTACTTGAGGATCTTTAGCACCATGTTGTGCAGAAGCCTCTCCATGGTCTCCTGGTCAAATTCGGCCTCCTCCAGCCAGGCGTCAGGGCACCGCCTGCACACCTGGCGAAAGGCTCACTTCCACACCATGCCCTGGTCCCAGTGCCGGCACATGTGGAACAGGACGTGCACTTTGGCCGAAGACCACTCATAAATGCACTTGGAGCACTGAAACCTGCCAGGGCATGGAGGAGATCAGCTCATCCCAGGCTCCCTGTACTGAGCTGGCAGCTTCCCACTCATTCAGTCGGGACCAGGGCAGCCAGGGCTGATGGATTAACTTCACTCGTGCAAGCTTTACACCCAGCTGTCCTCCCCCTAACAGCACGATGCCAGTCTGGGGAGTTCAACACAGATATGAGCTCAGGACTGGCCCCAGCATTAAAGATTTTAGGAGCCAGGCTGCCTGCTGGGACCAGCCCTGTCCCCTTCCCTAGCCCATCCCAGCCCCACTGCCAAGAGCAGGGGTCCTTGGGGTGGGAAGCATCAGGCCTCAGGTCTGTCTGGGGCTCCAGCCCCTCACCCATGCCAGCTCATTACAGCTCAGCGGAAAGCCAACATCAAGCCCAGGGCCGGGGTAGTCAACAAAAAAGAAGAAAAATAGAAGGAAGATGTGGGTGGAGGCTGCAGGGCAGGTGAAGAGATGTCTCGAGGAGTCAAAAGGTGTGTAACCCACAGCTCTTCATCTTGCACAATCTGCGTGGGGCCTGACAGCCAAGGTCCCCATTTGCTGCCACCGGGGCAGGGTGTCTGCTTGGTGCCCAAGGTCCTGCCTGGGGTGGAAATGGTTGGGATGGGGCCTCTCGTCAGCTCTGTGTGCAGAGCCACATCCTCTCTCTGCTCCGGGAGGCTGCAGCCTGGTGCGGATGCAGGGGCTGCTGCAGCATCGCCCCATGTCCCAGCAGACAGCGGCTCTCCCTCTCCTCATCCTCTGGGTGCAGACCCAACAGGTTTGCCTCTAGCGTGGTGTAACCACTCCTGCTCACTGGAGGAGCTCTGTGTATCTTGACACCAACATGGAGAAACTCTGGCCAAACACCAGCTGCCCTTTGGCCCTGTGCAGCTGCTGCACTTCCCTTCCCTCCAATTACTGTGTTTTTTTCCAGTTTGGCAACAACCCAGCAAGCTCAAAACAAAATGGGAAAACCCTCCCAGCCTCACATGCCTCCAGACTGCCCCTTTCATGTCAAAAGCTGTTTGCTACAAGCAAACTTTGAGAAAGGGAAAGGTCCATGTGGCAGCCCATCGTCCCTGGTCCTGCTCCAGAAGGGACCAAGCCAGCAGCCCCCTGCCTCCCAAGCGCGTGGCGCTGGACAAACTCCTTCCAGCCAGGCTTGAGGATGTGCACCTGCAGGGTGTTGTCCTCCTGAAGCATCCATGGCTCTTCTAAGTGCATGTCTGCAACCTTATCTGCAAAAATGTCCTGCCAGGTCCTCATGGTCCCACCTGGAGCTGGGGAAGAGGCAGTAACCAAGCCTGCAGCTTGTGAGTGCTGATAGATGTGTACAACTGCCTTTTCCCCAAACTTCTCCTCTTCACACAACATCTTTATGCTTGTAGAGGGGAACCTTTCCTCCAGCATGAGCAGCACCACCCCACCCGAATCCCTGCAGCAACAGGCTCTCCTGACGCCGCACCAGGTCCCGGCTGAGTGAAATGTCCCCCGCAGCAAGGGCGAGGTGGGTTTCCCCAAGCCCCACACATGAACCCCCGACCCTGCTGAAGCTGTGCTCTCGTGATGCCGCTCTGTCCGTAGGCAAAAAGCTTGGAAAAGCAAGCCCCTGCCAGGATGATCCTGCCCATCACTATCACAGCAGCAGGGGTGAATGGGCAGAGATTGTGCCCGGCGCAAGAATAACGGAAGTGAAAGCCACTGAAAACACCAGGCTCAGCAGCTGATAAAGCCCCAGGTAGCCTTATCTCTCTCTCGATAGCTGCCACCGAGCATGGGCTGTTTTCAACAACTTTCAGCCAACTCAAGCAGAAAAAGGCCTGACGTGAAACCGCAGGGTGGAAAGTCGGGGAGAACAGCACCGCATGTAAAACTGAAAGAGGTGAGGTGTGCTCTGAGCTGAGAGCACCCAGGGAAGGTATAAACAGCGGGGTCGGGGCTGCCTGCAGCCCTCTGCCCCTCAGCTCACCCCGCTCTGGGTGCACAGGGCCCCCAGGAGATGCCATGGAGACCGATGCGGGATGGGGAGCAGGTTAGATAAGATGTCAAATGATAACGGGTCTTCAGTTAGAGGAGGGTCTGCAGCTTGATAAAGCAAGCTCAGCTTGCCATGAAAATAAAACCATCTCATTTAGCATGAAGCTTTCAGAGGCGACCATCCTGCACAGAGAGGGCACCAGGCACCCCAAAATGCCTGACCTTGAAGGAAACGTGCTGGGTGGATGCTGAGGATGAAGTCACCATGGAAAGCTATGGCAGCTCCTCGTGTTGAGTGCCCTGAGCAGCACTCAGGCTCCCAGAAGCGCGGAGGGTTTAACGTAAAGGCTGTAGGATATCAAAGCCTGCAGTGGGAGAGACCTCAGTTTAAAAAAAGGGCAGAGGAATCTAGGAATCAGGCTTAAAACACTTCACACTGGTTTCAAATGAAGTATGTCCCCACGGCAGTTCTTCTGGCCTGACACCCCAAAAGCCCGGGTGCCCCAGGCAGCAGTGCCAGTGGCTGGCTCTGCCTGCCCTGGAGCCGGCTAGGGCAGCGGGATTGCTGCAGATGTAGGTGATGGCACCTGTGGCCTCACAAGAGGGGCACAGTGGCTGGCACCAGGAGGGGACAGGGGGTGGGGGGGTGTTTTGCTGTGAGGTCTTAAGAGGGGTCAGCATATCAGGCTTATCCTCCAGATCCCAAAAGGGAGGCAGGTGGCATAGATAAGTCCCAGTAACCACAGGTTGGCAGGGAGCCTCTGATCTTTCCTGCTGGAAGGGAAAAGCCAGCGAGACATCTGTACCAAGAGCCCTCCAGAACCTTCACAACATATGCTGCCCGAGTGGAGGTAGGTGACAAGGTCCCAGGACAGCCCATCTTCAGCTTCGAGGTTCTTCCCTGCTTTGAGGTCCTTCCACCGTTAATCACACCTTGATGCTACGATCTGGAGCAGGATTAGAAGGAAGGAAAGGCGGTTTCCTGGAAGCAGAGGAGCCAAGCCAAGGTCTTCAGGATCCTTATGGAGAGGTACCAAAGCCTGATCCTGTGGATAGGACCTGAGTCACCCCTTGACCAACAGCTCTGCCATGGGGACATGGGGTCCTGCTTGGGCTGGGGCACAGCCTTACAAGCAGGATGGTGAAGGAGGTGTCATCCCACCAGCATTTCTGATGCTCGCAGGTGGGGACCAGGAGACATCCCTGGCTCAGCTTTGGTGTGTGGGGCAGAAGAGAGGGAGCAGCAGATCTCCCTGCCCCCGCTCCCACTCCTTTCCCAGAGCACGGGGCCCCCATTTCTATAGGTTCACTGTAGAAGACCCCTTCATGCACTCCACCACAGAGGGGTCTCCAGGGCAGCAAATCTCCCAGTGCGGAAAGCAGGAGCTAAGTGGGAGCTTGGCTGGCCTGGCAGTTGGCACCGTGCAGTGCCTGGCAGCGCAGTGACCCAGCGTGGCATGGGGAGCCACCAGCAGCAGGGTGACCGGGGTGGGGACACCCACCCTGCAGCATCCCCTTGCACCCCTCTGTGTTAGGGGTTCAGATTTACACTGGGGGGAGGTGAATGCAAGAAAAACCTAAAGGTTTTGATGTCTCCCCCTTACTTCTAAGGCAACCACTCCTGTGTTAAACACCTCGAGCTATTTTGAGGAGGAGGACCCCTCCGGGGAGGCAGCCCTCTCTCCTCGCACTGTCATATTCACCCAAACAAACCGATCGCTTCATCTGGGGGATCTGTGGTTTCAGCCCAGCTCTTCCTCCCCAAGGCTACTGCCGCGGGGCAGAGGGATGGTCCCCACGGGACAGGCACTGCTCCCCCCACTGCCCACCCCAGGGAGCAAAACACTGGCCCTCAGGCACACGGATCAGCAGGGGTCCGGTGGCACCCCTGGAGCAGGGACAGCCCCCCGCCTCCAAAACCCAGCTGTGATGGAAACCAGCCCCCCGTTACGTCATGGCAACACAACTCAAATCACGACTCACGATGTGCCGAGCCCTCGGAGTCATCTCTGAGAAGGAGCCCGGTGCTGGTCTCTCTATTAAAGCCTTTGACTTGCTTTTACTAAAGGGACTTTCCCAGAACCACCCACAGTGCCGAAACTGTTTTGACGTCCTGTTCCACTTCACACACATCTCCCGGTGCTGCCCGAGCACCTTGTCGCTTACCAGCACCCGCCTGGAAACAAAAGCTGCTCCCGCCACCCGGCCTTGGTCGCGACTGCAGGCTCAACCCACATGACCCCGCTGGGCTGGAGAGTCCCTGCCTGGGACGGAGCCTGCCAGTCCTCTCTGTCCCGGCACGCTGGTTATGGCTCCTCCATGGAATGCGCAAAGGAGTCAAAGAGAAGGTGCAGCCCGGAGTCAAACAGAAGATGCAGCCCGGGCAAGTAATTTCCCTGCCACTTTCACACAGCCTGAAATTATTTTTGACTTCAGCTCCCACCCCCGGCTGAGCCGCCCAGGCGAGAGGAGGAAGGTTTCCCAAGGCTCCTTACCCTCCCCTCCAACTCTCACTGTGTGTCAGCCTTCCTGTCGCCTACCCCTCCAGCCCAGGGACAAAGCGCCCACACTGTCCTGCCTGGCCTGCATGCGCCCCATTGCTTCTGGGACACCCATCCCTTCCCTTTGGGATCACCCCATACCCAGGTGGTTCCATCCTGCCAGCAGTCCCTATGGGGGGCACAAAGGGACTTTCAACCCCGGTCCCCAGCCAGGACCACAGAGCAGGGCTTCCCCTCAGCGGTGGGGATGCTGAGTCCACGGGCACGGCCAGGCTTGCAAGACAGATGGACTGCCGTCTGAGCAACAGGGCATAACCCTAAACACTTCTCTGCCTTTCACTGCTTGCCTTATACCGAGGCTTTTTTTCCCACTCTGAAGACTTCCCTTATCTTTCCCTGCACTAAACACACTCAATTCTTTTCCGTCAGTCATTCTTTCACGGCATTTTTGCTCTTTTCTCCAGGTCATCAGGGTGAATTTGATTTCTGACCCTCCTCCTAGCTGGCCCTTACACCCTCCCTCAATAGCATACTGCCTTTGTTTGAGCCATGCGTCCCCAGAAAACCCCTGCTTAATGTGTCTGCCATCACAAGCTATCGATAACTGCTGATGGGATATAGCTTCTTGGGTAGCTGTCCACCCACAGCAGCAGAATTTCCTATTCCCCTAATTTGCTTATGAGAATGTCACGTAAGGCAGCACAAAGATAGCATCGCTCCCGCTCTCCCTGTGGTACTCAGCCCATCACCTTAATGAAGAGAAAATGAGGCTGGTTTGACACAACGTGTTCCTGCTAAATCTGTGCTCTCAGCCCCAGCGCTGCCCTCTCGATGTTTACCGCTTGGTGGCCTTACTAATTTGTTCCAGCGGTTTTCTGGGTACGGAGCAGGCTGACTCATCTAGAATTTCCCGGATCCTCTTCTTTTCCTCTTCCTTGAACAGATGGTGAATTAGGCATCTGCATCCTTCTGGGACATGACTCCATGCCAGGCCTCTGCACCCCTGACCCCCTCCAACCTTGCCGGTCTTGATGGTGAACGTTTGTCACCCCACCACGGTGAAATCCACCACCTCTAGGGACAAGCTGTGGCTGTAGGATCCCTTTCAAGCCAGATTGTCTTCATAGTCGAGCCCTTGGAGTGGAGGGGTCTACCTTTCCCAGGGTGGATCTGAGGCAAAGGGGATCCTCTGGAAATGGGGATATGCCCAAGCTGGACTGTAAAGAGGGGACATTGCCCCATTGTCCCCTGGACTTCTGGAATGGAGAGGGATGCTGAGCAATGGGGAGAGATTGAAGGGAGGAGGTAGCTGTGAAGATGCAGGCAGGTATCACCCGGCATGGGTTTGGACTCACTGTGCATCCAGCAGTCCTCACGATGGTCCCTGCAGGCGTAAGAAGAGAGCTCAGCCCCCTCCGACAAGGCTCTGCCCCAGTGCCATGGGCGGTGGGTTTGGTCTTGGGGGCGGTGGAGCGGGCAGGCCCAGGGCTCCTGCCTGGCCCTCCGAGAACCCACGTGCCAGGATCTGGCCTGCCAGTGTCCTCCTCGAGCAGCACATCCCGCCAAAGGGAGGAAGAGAGAGAAGGAGAAACCCTGGAGACAACTCAAACCAAAACTAGAGAAAGCAAAATGAGGGCGGTGGGAGGAAATGCAGATGTTCTGCAAGCCTACAGCAGGCTTGGCGACAGGCATGGTGAGGCTCTCAGTGGGACGGGATGGAGGAGATGCTGTGAGCCTGGACCCCTCAGGACTCATCAGGGGTGTGCAAGTTGGCCACAGTTAGGGGTGCAGGCAACCTTCCCAGCATCCCACCCCTCCCATCAACCACCCATGGCACCCACCAGTTCACCCCAGCCTGTCCCCTCCAGGACAGCTGCTTTCCCAGCAAGACAAGCCAGACCACAGTGCATGACTGACCAGTCCCACCTGAAGATCATCCCATTAACCCAGGGGGCAAATAACCCACACACCCCACTACAGCACCTCCAGCACAACCTCTCCAAAACCAAAACACAGCTCTGAGACCTCCCAGTGACCAGGATGGTCCTTCCTTGTAAGTGACCTTCCTGCCACACGACCTGACCACCCCTTCTCCCCATGGCATCTGCAATGTCCCATTTTGCAGGAATGGTGCTTTGCTGCTCCATGGCACGGCTCTCCTCGAAGACACTGCTGCAAGCAGCAGGAGACGACTTTCTCTCCATCTTCATCTTGCCTGCCCAGTTTTCTCAAGACATGGTTTTCAGGATCGGGTTTCTTTAAGGGATGCTTGCTCACTTCTTGTTCCCAGTCACCTTTAATCCAGGGTGGGGTATACAAGGAGCCAAGCTGGCTCTCAAACATCTGTATAGGGGGTTTGGCTTGCTCAGGCATAGCTCAGGCATGCTGAAGTCACACATCCAGCTTCCTGAAGATGTAGATATGGATCAGGTCCAGCCCTCTGAGGTCTCCCAGTGGCGTCTGGCCGTTGCCCATCAGCAAGACCCCAGCGTGGGACAGGGGATGAGCTCTTCTCTCCGGAGGTCCCAGCCGGTGTGCGGTGCCAGGGAGCTGACAAAGCGTTTTGTCACCGACCGTGGCGGCAGCCGCTCCCCGGGGGGGCCCCCGGGGCGCGCGG